TACTAGAGTATAAAATCGTTGGGTGATGGCTAATCAAGCATTGAATTGCTGCTGGTCTATGTACTGCTGTGCACTCCTTGTTTGACCTCCTGTAAGTGGAGATGGTTTAGTGAGATGAAGACCAGGGTGCTTTGTCAGGCTTTAACTATGCTTTTTTTCCCCATAAAGAGAACTTGTTTTCCAGTCTGTGTTTCATTTAATACTGTGCTTTTTAAAGTAGTTACTTTGCCTGGGATTGTGAGATTAAGACTACACAGTTAAATAACTACATAACTCAGGAGGATTAGGGAAAAGGTAGCTGGGACGTTCTGAAATACAGCTGTGATCCAGACATAAGGGTTTTTTTCTGTTCTCAGTTACTCTGGTGGATTTAGCTTCGTTATGTTACTTATTGTGAATGTCTAGTTTTTGTTACTGTACCGCAAATGGTAGAAGTTTTAAAAACTGTTAAAAATGACCCGAGTTCTTACTAGGCTTCTGTTCTTCCTCACAGTGCTGCCTTTACAACTTCAGGAGGAGGCTAAAATGCTTCCGCTGCGGAGCAGACAAATTCGGTACGTTACATTGACATCTTTGGCTATGTTTGATTTTGTGGGAAGCTTTCTGTCATGTGTAGGAACTCGCTGTAGGTCCTAGGCTGGCTTGTGAAATGCTGAGATTGAATGAGCCATATTGTGACTAAAATATTTTCCTCTTCTTACAAAGATTCAGAACATGAGGTACCACCTGGAGCAGCAGAAGCCGTTCAGTCTGTGGATTATTATTGTGACAGTAAGTTATCTTTGACTTATTGTATAATGTGAAATCTAAACTTGGGTACTAAGATCCTTCCCGTACCTCAAGACTGCCCACTGAAGAACTTGAAGTACTCTGGAAAGCCATTATGTGCACAGCTAATGCCATACTCTCTTTTCTCCTCAGCCATCATTCTCCGAAACATTGCTCCTCACACAGTAGTGGAATCCATCATGACTGCCTTGTCTCCATATGCATCTCTGGCAGTCAATAATATTCGTCTTATCAAAGACAAGCAGACTCAGCAAAATAGAGGCTTTGCGTTTGTGCAGCTGTCTTCTGCCATGGTGAGGGCCTTACTGATGTGTTGGAGAGAAACAGCTTGTTAATGTCCTTTTGTAGCTGAAGCATTCAGAGCCTTTGAGCCGTCTGAAGGACCACCCCAGTTCACTGAGGGTTAATCAACACTCAGTGTGTCAAAGCCTTTCATAATCAGCTGCAGTTTGGAAAGAAGGTGGTGGGATGTTGTGAGCCCACTGGAAAGCTATTTTCATAGCAGAGCGATGAAGGCTAGCTTCATGCTTGGATCACAAAAATAATGGTCTGGGATCATGTATCGATGACAAAAATTAAGGTTTGGGGCATATAATGTGGGAGAAAGGGCTCAGAATTGGGTTTCTTCCACCTTGACAAGGAGGAGAGAAATCTTGCTGCTTTCTGGAGCATCTGTTGGGAGGGTGTAGGGACAGCAGAGACATTCTGTTTGAGGCTACACACATATAGGACAATAGGCAACAGCCATAAATTGAAACATGGGAAGTTGCAGCGAGCTGTGAAGACAAAACCTCTTATCTGTGAGTGAGGTCAGATACTGGCACAGGGTCCCTGGGGATGGTAGAATCCCCATTCCTGAAGTCACTTAAAAGATGTGTAGATATGGTGCTCTTTAGGGACCTGGTATAGTGGTGGACTTGGCAGTGTTAGGTTTATGGTTGGACTTGATGATCTTAAGGGTCATTTCCAACCCAAATGATTCCATGATTCTATATATCAAACTCAGCAACGGGATCTGTTTGGACCTGCTTTAGGCAGAGTTGAACAGGCTGTTGTTGGATGAAAATGGGTGCCTGATCTCAGTCTCTGCTCGCCTCCCAGTTTGGAGTAATTTGGGGCAAACATTGCGTTATAAAGCTGAGATTTTAGACCATGTTTAATAATCAGTGACCCAGGGAAATGCCATGCTATTGTCACATGGGCTGTGATCAGTCCCATTGTGCTCTTCTGCATGTATATAGTATGAGGAGATGGAGGTGTTCTCACAGCTGAAAACTGCTTTCAGTGGCTGTATGTGAAACGGTGTAGCTTTGGGAACTTCTGAACCCTCACTAACCTGCCTTTCATAATAATGAGTATTTCTTGTTGTAGGATGCTTCTCAACTGCTGCAGATTTTACAAAGTCTTCAGCCACCATTAAAAATTGATGGCAAAACAATTGGTGTTGACTTTGCAAAGAGTGCCAGAAAGTGAGTTGTGATAGCAGTTGATTTTTTTTTTTTTTTAAATCCTTCTCCCCCTCTGTTTGTATTAGATATTTGTTGTTGTTGCCTAGGCTTTTATTAAGATGGCTGTCACTGCAAAGTTTTCCTTCCTTTAAGTGTTCTGTGTTGCATGCATCCTGCTCGTCACTGTGTGCAAGGTTTCCTACCAGCCCTATTTCCAGTCCTCTGAAGATAGCACCGTAACTGCTTGTGTACACAGCACACTTGTTTCCTTGGAGACCTAGTGACTTGTTATTAACTGTACAACAATGAACCTTGGGTTTCTTTGCTTGCCAAACAGTGCTTTGGCTCATTCATTGCAATTAGAATGTTTTAGAACTGCCAACAAATGCATGCGTCAGGGCAGACTCTGTCTCTTTGCATAGGGAGACACTTCAGAAAAGAAGCAGCGTTTACTCAGATGTGTGGTTTTTGTGGTTACAGAGACTTGCTTCTCCCTGATGGTAACAGAGTCAGCGCCTTCTCTGTGGCAAGTACAGCCATTGCTGCAGCTCAGTGGTCGTCCACTCAGGTATGATTTGGAGGCTGTTGCTCATAGTCTTGCTTTCCTGAAAATAAAGAAGTAAAGTATATAATTTCACTGTTGGCCACTCGCTTGGTTGAACTGACCAAAGCTGCTGAGAGGGATCTGCTCTGACAGTTAGGCTGGAGCCTCAGCAGTATCGAAATTCTTAAATGGAGTAACTTCTCTGTCCCTAACAAAAACTGCCCTCTCTAATTTCAGCCACAGACTGGAGAAGGCAGCACCCTTGACTACAGCTACCTCCAGTCAGGACAGGATGGCTACACACAGTATGCTCAGGTTAGTGGCAGTGGTTGTGTTTTGACCTGTAGGTTGTTGTAATTTGGGTATCTGCTCATCTTGTGTTTTTTCAATTTCCCTTTGCAGTACTCCCAGGATTATCAGCAGTACTACCAAAACCAAGGAGGAGTGTTGGACTCGGACTCAGCTACTATATCAGGTAGTAATTCTGACATGTGGGAGGTGCTGTTGCTTGTAATGACAATTTTGCAGTAGGGCTATTTTACCTTAGCCTTTATGATGCTGTGTGAAGGGAGGCTTGACTGATTTTGCTCTCAGGCTGTCTGAATGAGTACATGATACTAGAGAACCGTAACAAATTCATTCAAGTGGGGACCTCTCGTCTGCGAGATGAGAGCAGGCTTTGTTTCAGACTATTGACAGCAGCCTTGAACTCAAGGCTGTGAGAACTGTGTGAGCAGCTCTAGACAGATCTCAGAGCGAGCAGCTGTTGAGGCCAGGAATCACTGTCTTAGGGAGCAGAATATTTCCTCCTGAAAAGGAAACTATTCCTTGTCTGGGTAGAAAATACCCACTGTGTATCTCTCTCCTTTTAAATGTTTATTGCCTTGTTTGGCTACTGGAGCTCGAATTGGGAGCTGAAATTGTAAACAAAGTAATTTTAGCCCTAGGACGAAGTACTGTTTTACAAATTAGTTGGCTTATGCATTATTGCTCTCTGTTGGCAGGAGCTCCGGTCACTACCACTACAGCTGCAGTTGTGTCCCAGAGTCCTCAGTTATATAATCAACAGACAAACTCACCTGACTCTCCGGTAATTACAGCCATAATTACTCCTCGCTTTCAGTGCCGGGGTTATGTGGGATATCTGGCTTAGCTGTGGCCTTTGCTCTTTAAAGTGGGTGGTACAGCAAAGCTGCTGAGTGGCCACGGGTTAGTCACAGTGCTTGTGGTCATCAGTCATCTGCCATTTCTTCTCCACAATAGCTTTGTTCTTTGTTGAGGGCAAGTGTGAAGTGTCCTGGTGAAGAGCTGGCTGTCGTGTGCCTGGTGTGGGCTGCTCATGCCTTGGCTCGCTCTCCTGGTTTTCCTGCGCCTCGGTGACAGATTTGCTAATTGAGATTCCTGGTTTGGGGTTTTTTTTCAGACACAATCAGCACCAGCTACCACCAGCACTCAGGCACAAACGGCTCCCCCGACTGGCGTGGTCCCTGGAACCAAGTATGGTAAGCAACGGGGAGGTGCTTCTGGGGACTGGTATCTGTCACTGTATGTAGCAAGAGAGAGACTTGTTTCTATCACCATACGTCAGTGGTGAAGCAGTCCCTGGAGAGTGTGTTCTGCACAGGTGAATAAAAGTCCTTATCAGACACATCTGGCACCATGGCTGCTAATAATCTCAGAATTTTACCTGAAATGTGGAAAGATACCTGTCTGAATTTGACTGGAACGACCATGTCCCACACTTTAATTTTTTTACAGCTGTCCCTGACACTTCCACCTACCAATATGATGAATCTTCAGGATATTATTATGATCCTGTAACAGGGCTCTACTATGATCCTAATTCCCAGGTAAACAGAAGTTCTTTCCACCTGTCTTAGCTGTTACAGTCCGTTAGTTTCCTGCCTCGTGAGTGAAATTAACTTTCTGAGGTGCACAAAATACTGAATGTATCAGATAACTCTCAGCAGTGTGTGTAGGGCTGAGCTTTTACTTACCACTTATACAGCCCTTCATTTTTTTTCTCTCCTTTCCTTAATTTTCTTCCCAGTTTGCCACCTATAGGACTAGCACTTGTCACAGACACTGCAATTGAGTTGTTTCATTGCAGAGTGCCCCAAAAAAGCGCACGTGTCTCTGGTGGTGTCTCTTGGGAGAGGTGAAAGGTTCTCCATAGTGTTCTTGAGCATAACACCTGGGTTTGGGGACATACTCTCCAGCCACTTCCTGCCTTCCAGCTCCTTTGTGGAGCCTGCAAGACTTGTTTGGACTCTTATAAAACGCCTTCCCCTTTGATGGTGCTAATCTGAATCGGGCAGCTTGCTCAGGTGCTCCCTGGGACACTTGGCCTGTATGAGGTGTTTACCTGACTCTCTTCCTCCGGCAGTATTACTACAATGCCTTAACCCAGCAGTACCTTTACTGGGACGGCGAAAAGGAGACCTACCTGCCTGCTGCAGAGGGTGTCACCTACCAACAAACAGCTACCACAACCACCACCAAAGAAGTGAAGGAGAAGAAAGAGAAGCCTAAAAGTAAAACAGCTCAACAGGTAAAAGACAAAATGGGATCGTAACTGGGCTAAAGTCCTTCTGTGGAATGGGATAATAGTTCTTCTTCACGACAAAGGAAATCCTAGGTTATTCAGTGGAATGCATGCCTGCAATTTGCAGACATTGTAGAGGGCTGAGGAGAGGTGGAGTTGGCAAAGCTTCAGTGCAGAAATAAGCTCTGCATAGGAGGAACGCATATGGAATCATGCCAGGAGCAGTGGGAGTATAACTGAGCTGTCACTTAGAGGATTAGATTGATAAGAAGGGTTCATACAGTAAAACAAGCAAGCTGCGGTATCTTTGAACACTGTATACAGGGAAACAGCTGCACTACATCCAGTGGCTTGTGATTTTAAAAATAAAAGGTAGTGGGTTGACTTGTTCTGGAAACTGTATGGAAGACTGAATGTGTGTCAGAAGAGATTGATAGCTGTGAGGGGAGCTGTCTGAACGAACCACTCTGCATTTCAGATTGCTAAAGACATGGAACGCTGGGCAAAGAGTTTGAACAAACAGAAAGAGAACTTCAAGAATAGCTTCCAGCCACTGAGTACCAGAGAGGAGGAGCGGAAAGAGTCGGCGGCTGCAGATGCAGGCTTTGCCCTCTTTGAGAAAAAGGTGATGGTGCTGGAGACAGTGTGCAACGGGGGGTGGTGTGGCAGAGAGCTTGGTGCTCATGGTGTTCTTGTCTCATCCAGGGAGCTCTGTCTGAGAGACAGCAGATCTTGCCAGAGGTGTTGAAAAACGGGGACGATGATAATCCACTGAAGGTGAGTGTGAGATACCTGACAGAGGTGTTCCCAAAGGTTACTGGTAAAGCACTTCAGAGGAAGTCTAGCAGATACTCCCTCTCCCACCTGGGTTTCTGCAGCATCATCTGTAAAATGTTATGGTGGTTGCAGTGGTCCAGTGCAAGTGCATAGGCTGGGTGACTGAGATACACTGAGAAAAGCTGTGATTCTTCCAGCCACAAGAGTTCAGTTGAGGTTTTGAGGTTTTTAAAAACACTGTAGTCAAATTATTGTTTGGCTAGTGGGATCAAAGTCTTGCAGCCTTTGTAGTGTGTGGTTCTTTTGAGTTGGATTTCATCCTTAGTAATGAGAGATTGATGCCTCTCCTGTGCAACAAGCAAATCTACAGCCTCTGTCTTCCCTTTCTGGGCTCTTCCTGAATTGTGGTGACACTGTTGCATTCTTCATGGTGTCCTTCCTTTCCAGCGTGGCCTCGTGGCTGCCTACAGCGGTGATAGCGATAACGATGAGGACTTACTGGAAAGAATGGAGAATGAGGAAGAGAAGCTGACCGACTGGAAGAAGATGGCTTGTCTGCTGTGCAGAAGGCAGTTCCCAAACAAAGATGCCCTGATCCGGCACCAGCAGCTGTCTGACTTGCACAAGGTACTTGCACTGTGCTGTTAGGAAGGGACTTGGTTGCTGTAGTTCAGTGTGTAGACCAAACCCATGATGCATGTTCTGTTCAGAAGACTGTTCCTCTTCAGGCATAAACAGTTGCAGGTCAGTTGTTGCTCTCCCAAAAGTCAGCTACTTAAAAAAAAAAAAAAGAGCTGTTGTGCATTCCATGTTGTTCATGTGAATCTCTTCTTGTTTCAGCAAAACATGGATATCTACAGGAGGTCAAAGCTTTCAGAGCAGGAACTTGAAGCCTTGGAGCTGCGTGAGAGAGAGGTCAGTGTTGAGATGAGCAGATGAGTAGCTAATGGAAAACCTGCACAGGTGATACGTTGAGCTCTCCTTATCCTGGTGCATCACTCGAGATAATCCTTGTAAGCCAACCCCTTCTTGGGTCAAGGTTCAGAGCTGTCCTGTTACATGGAGAGAAGTGTCCCAGATCCCACAGCTCCTACTTAGCAGGGAAGGGTTCTTCTATCTCCAGCTCAGGGCTGCCAGACTGGGGCCAGAATCCTTTGAGTGGCAACCAACAGCTAATCCAGCAGGGGTTGGGGAGGCTTTTCCTGCTCCAGCTTCTGATGTGTTACAGGGACTCGCATTTGAGGTTCTCCTCTCTGTGGTGTTAGTCAAGACGTGTTTTAGCAGGCTGCACTGGACAGCTTTTATATAATAGCAGGCGTATAGCTTATTGCCATAGCTCAAAGATGAACAAAATTGTCCTTAAATGGGTACTAAATCTGGTTACCTCCTGCAGATGAAATACAGAGACAGAGCAGCTGAGAGGCGGGAGAAGTACGGCATCCCAGAGCCCCCCGAGCCAAAGCGCAAGAAGGTCTATGACGCTGGCACAGTGTATGTATCCGAAAGCTCCTCGGCCATTGCTTCAGAACACAATGAGCAGTTGGGTTAAACCCCTCTCTTTTTCCCTGCAGCAATTACGAGCAGCCCACCAAAGATGGCCTTGACAACAGTAACATCGGCAACAAGATGCTGCAGGCCATGGGCTGGAGGGAAGGCTCGGGCCTGGGAAGGAAATGTCAGGGCATCACAGCACCCATTGAGGTAAGGAGAGATGGATGCTTCCTCCAGGAGGTTTCGTGCCTTTTCTTTAATCCAGAAGCACCCGCTGCTAAAGATGGCTTGTGGTAGAAACTCTGCCATCCACAGCCAAGCTGCCTCTGGTGACATTGACTCCTGCCTGTCCTGTTGGGTGCTGGGACTCCTCAGACAGGCCGGGCTGTGCTTCCTTCTGTCAGAATTCTGCTCCTCTTGGCTTCCCTGGGTTTGTCCATGCTGGGGGTTTATGCTGTTAGGACCTCTGTTCTGTGTGGTGGTGTTTTGGCCGGTGGTGGGGTGGGATCAGCGGTGTGAGGTCAGCAAGCACGGGGTGTTGTGTCCAGTCTGATCTCCCGGTGTCGGTGTTCATGGCTGCTTGGGGTCCACAGGGCAGCTCGAGACGCTTGGGTTTCGCTGCAGTGTCCTGCACGGTGACACGGTGTCTGGCTGCAGAGCTGAAGACTCTCTCTCTTCCCTTGCAGGCCCAAGTCCGAATGAGAGGAGCTGGTTTGGGAGCCAAGGGCAGCTCCTACGGCGTCTCCACCGCGGATTCGTACAAGGACGCGGTGCGGAAAGCCATGTTCGCCCGCTTCACGGAGATGGAGTGACGCCCTGGCCCGCAGAGCGCTCGTTAGCCACAACTGACTGTTAAACTTCATGGCCCTCAGTGGCCTGGCTGTCATCTGGTTATGGTTTAGAGTTGACCATTTCATTCCCTTGGACTTTTTCCCCCTTCTCGGCATGTTAACACTTCCATGAGCAGATGGTTGGAACTGCCCCACCTTCATGCTGGAGAGCTCCTGGTTAGACCAAAGGGGATGCTGATCTTTGTACGGTCTTGTACATAGTGTAATGTATTTTGTGTTTGGAGCGTGTTGTCCCGATGCCGCTTCTGCCCTCCCGAGCAGGGACAGGACCTGTTAGCTGTGCTTTCACACCGTCTTTGCTCTCCTTTTGTTGTATTGTCTGTCTGGTTTGGTTTTTTTTTGGTTGGGTTTGTTTTTGGTTTTTTTTTTTTTTTTTTGGAGAATTTTCCTGTACATTTTGTATGATACATCTTTGTATAGACTTTTTGAAGACTTTGATTCTAGTTGCCAGTTTGGCTCATTTCCAAAAGAAATACATCCAAAAATGATCCTATTTCTGTTTCTCGGTGGGTTGAATGAAGAGTAAGTTGCCAATGCTACTTGTCCTTTCTGTGGTTCTGATTCTTCCTTGATGAGACTTCATCCTGGAGTTTCTGCTCCATGCAGTGCTCCCTTCCCTTGCTTCCTTACATCCATGATGCTCTGCCTTGGGCCGAGTGTCTTCCTCACACCTTCAGCGTGGATGGTGGCTGGTGGAGGACCAGATCTTCCTGCCATGGCTAGGGGAGCAGGAGAGGAGCAGCAGAAATGTCTGCTGCAGCTTGCAGGTCCCTGGGTGTTACCAGCAGCTCCTCTGGTGGGTGGTGGGCTGAAGGGGAGGATGGCCAACCTGTGTGGCACCTCAGGGGGGGACATCTGAGCCTGGCATGGGATTTCTGTGTTCCACTTGGGCTTGTCCCTGGTGACAGTTCCACAGAGCTGCTGGAGACTGGGTGATGGTGAACCACCTCCTTTCTCAGGGGTTTCCTTCTGTGTCTCTTCAGTTTCTGTCCCATCTCTCCTCTGTGTTGGTGTCAGGTCTCACCCTTCGGTCCTCCTTAGGAGTTAAGATGAGCAGAGAAGGGCTTCAGCCTCCCCAGGGGAGCTGAGCCGAGAGTCTCTCCCCATGGAGCCGCCATGGTGGGCATGGAAATGGTTTAGGATGGAGCCAGAGCAGCTCCACCACCCCTTCTTGGGGTCCTGTGGGGTGAGGCTGGCTCCTTGGGGCTGCCAGGGCTCTGTGGGGTGAGGCTGGCTCCTTGGGGCTGCCTTTCATGGGGTGGGGTGAATCCCACCTTGGTGGCTGCCAGGTCTGCCCTGGCTGCTGTGGCAGGGGCTGGCCGCTGCCTTATTTTGGGGGGTGCGTGAACCTCGGAGAACCCTCCATCCCTGCGTGCGGGCCTGCTGCGGGCTGGGGGACCATAGAGGGGACAGATGGGGGGGGTCCCCTCTGGTGTGGCCGGGCCGGCTGTGCCTCCCGGGCCGTGCCACCAGGTGGCAGTCGTGTCCCAGCTGTCACCCCGCGGGCCGTCGCTGTGCCAGGCTCCCCCAGTATCGCTGCAGGGGGGGCCGAGGCAGGATGGGGAGCATCTCCCCCCTCCTCAGCCCCCCCGGACTTGTGAGCAGCTGGAGCCAGGGCCCGAAGTCGCTGTGCCAGGCACAGGGCTGGCTCCCGGGGTACAGCATCCTCTCCTCGGCTCCACAGAGGAGGCTGGGTGTGGGTCAAATCAACCCGAGGGTGATGCTGAGGGTGCCAGCTCCGCCTCGGCGTCCCCCCAGCATGATGGTAGGGGGGAGACAGGGCTGGTGCACTGCGGCAGCCCCCCTCCCCAGGCCGTGCCAGCCTCCCCCACCTCCCCCTGTGTCCCGGCTGGTGACGCACCAAAGTGCTTTGCTGCTCTGGGCTGTAAGTGGGGGGGTTTGTTTCCCAGCAGGTGGGCTCGGTGGGTCGATAAAGTGCATTTGTGCAGCTCAGCTTCTTCTCAGCCCATCGATCCCCTTCCCAGCGCCTCCTCCTGACGAGGGGTGATGTCCCAGCTGGGAGGGGGGGCCCCCCTGCCCGTGGTGGGCACAGCACAGCCTCCTCCCGGCTCCAGCCTGGCTCTCTCTGTCTCCTCTGCGGCAAAGTGCTGCCCCGGTGCCAGGAGCTGGGCCAACCCCTACCTCTGGCAAAACAGCTGCAGAGCCATGGGGGTACAGAGTCCCCCGCTGCCAGCTCCTGGGGACAACTGCTGGGGGGGGTACCCAAAGCAGGGCACCCTCCTCCAGCAAGGCTTTCACGAGGGTCCTGGGCTTACAGCCCATCCCACACAGTGGGTGAATCAAAGTCCCCCCTCTCCTGAGGGAAAGCACTAACCCTGGGCACCCAGGGAGAGGGAGCAGTGGGTGGTGTGGGGGGCTTGGACCCCCCCCCCCCACTGCAGGCCTGCCCCCCAGTCCCCGTGCCAGTCGCTGGAGGCACCGGTGTCTCCCATTTAGGCAGTGCAACGCGGCTGTTCGTGACTGAATGCGCCATGGCCCACTGCCTTCAGAGGGACGTGGTGTCCCTGCCTCCCCAGGGACAGACCTCCAGGGGTGGGGGCGGAGAAGCTGTGGGAGGGGGCCAGCCCCATAAGTGCATGGTGACAAGGCAGGTCCCCTCCTGGGCAGAGAGGGGCTCCCTTGGGCACCAGTCCTCCCCGGGCTGAGCAGCCAAGTATCCTTGGGGCCAGGGGAGCTGCCTTTCCTGGTGGCCTGATCCTGATGCAGGTTGCCCCTGGAGGAGGGTGCTGGTCCATGGCTGAAATGCCAGATGTGGGCTGATTGTGGGTCCTTGCAGGGATGGAGAGGGAAGGAGGGCCCTGGACAGAGGATTTTGGAGCAGGGCACTGGCAGGAGGAGATGCGGAGCCATCCCTGGACAGGCAGAGCTGTACTGCACTCCTCCTGTGCCTCAGTTTCCCTATTGTGAAGTGGCATCAGATTCTCTCCTGTGTGGATGACAGGGAAAGAGTAAGGTCTCTGAGCCCCAAAGTGCATGGAGACCCCAGGCTGGGGGGCTCGGGGGGCACCCAGAGGGACCCTGTGCCCTTTCCTGGGGGGCAGCAGGGTGAGGGCAGGGCTGCAGCCTGGGGTTCCTCCTGGGCATGGGGCTGGCTGCAGGGTGACCTCCCAGAGTCTTGGCACTACCAGGTCTGTGCCTCCTTCCAGCACCTATAACATGCTGAATTAAACATCACTCTCGGTCTGTTTTTAAGGCTTGGGATTTTTTCTGGCTGGCTTTCAGCGTTATTAATATTAAAACTCCCAAGCCTGCTCTGCCCTGGCTTTCCAGGAGGCCCTCTGAGCATCTCCAGCTCCTGCATGCTAATTGAGGCGAGGAACCCGGCCAAGTCGTTAGTGCGAACAGCTTCTCTCCTGGGCGCTCGCTAATCGCTGGAGTTACCAACCCATGGCAGAGCTCGGCCTTCCCCTGTGGCCAGCCCCAGCCCTGCCTCGCTTGCCCGTGGTCAGGAAAGCATCCTGGGGCTGCTGGAGACTCGGAGTGCCTGCCCTGTGTGTGTGTGTGTGCTTACACACCCATGTGTGCTCTCGTGCCCCCAGGCGTGTGTGCAGGCGTGTGCTTACGCTCCTCTCCATCACCTTTCCCCGCTGTGGGGGAGTTAACACGGCTGCTTCTCCTCCCTGCCACCTCGGTCCATCCTCTCCCGAGCTACTCAACGTGTCCCAAATACTTTGAAATTGCCCTGGAATAATTTCCCCTTCCTCCTGTGAATGATTTCACCCAAATGCCCCATGGCAACCCGGTTCCAGCCTCACCCGTGGGGCTCTGACATCCAGGATGGGCAAGGATGTGGTCCAGCAACCCTGCTGGTGTGTAGTTGGGTACCACTGTGGTGCCCACCCTGGCAACCTGCATGTTTGGGGCAGGAGGAGGGGGTTGTATGGACAAAGGGCAAGCACCCCACCCGGCCCGGCAGGACCGACGTGGGTGAAGAAAGGGAGGTGTTGTCCCCCATCTCTTGGCCGTTCCCCCCCTGGACACTGTTTTGACACAGAGTCCATTTCTGGTTTGGGTAACCTCATGGTCCACATTTC